CGCGCGCCATGATGGTCTCTGGGAGCTTGACTAGATTCGTCTTCCCTCTGATGCCACCGCCAACAGTCTTGCGGCCCATATTGCCGCATCTGCTAGCTCTTTTCAGCAGTGGCATCATCGTCTTGGCCATTTATGTGGTTCTTGTCTCTCGTCTTTAGTTCACTGTGGTGTTTCGGGGCTTGTCTCTGGTAGCGCCACGTGACCACAATAATGGGAGAGGCCCCAGCAATGAGCCTAGCACCAATTGGCGTAGGAGGGGTTGTGACCTGAAGCATAGCTCGAAGGCGTTCCAAGCAAACAGCCTGTGACTCCCGCAACATTATACAATGTCGAATTGAGGGGAGGCGTGACTCATCGACAGGTGGACAGAAGTCACGGCAGCACCAGTTACCCCCACAAGTGTGCGGCGAACAGATAACAGGGATGGCCTCCTATTCTCGACGGCAGGCGGCTCAATGACACTGCCCACCATCGCCGTTGATCCTGATGGCGGCGCCACAATGCCAGGAGACACCAAGGTGGAGGAAGACATGTGAGGTCCTGGTATAGGGAGGGTGGGCTGCCAATTGGCCTATTATTCAAAGTCGTGCTGAGCGCTCTAGATTGGCCAACCATGGTTTGAGGGTACAACATTTTGTCATTTCCTATGCTCAGGTTGTACTTTGAGGGTAGAGTGTTTTGTCATTCCCGACGCATTCAAGACGCAGATCCGACCATGGTTGGTCCAACAACCTGAGCAGAGGAAATGACAAACCGCTCTGCCCTCAAAGTACAAATATTTTGAGAATTACTTTGAAAAGCACATGATAGTTATTGAAAAAATCTCAAAATACATGTACCATGGGGATAGAGTGTATTGCACATGCATGAAAATTTTCAACTTTAATATGATTACTTATAAAAATACAAGACGACTGAATAGTATCAAGACTAACTTTTACTGTTTATACTATTCATAATTGATTTATCCTTTTTTTTATCTCACAAATTATATCAGATCTTTAGAAATTTGCACGGATGTACACAACACTCTTCCCTAATGCATTTATTTTATTTTATTCTTACTTCTGCAAATGCTTTTCGAATGATATTTTCGTTTTTTTTAAAAGATGTCCAATTTCACATGATATATACCCATGTACTTTGTATGCAAATTAGACATTCAGCTTTTCATTTCGCTACTTCACATGATGCTTCAGTAAACCTTACTTCATATTTTGAAGTGGTCGAAATGTGAGTCATCTATTGTTCATTACAACCTAATTTTACAGAACATGTAACACAGACACTATTTTGTACTGTATAACCTGCAGTTATTTACCTCATCGAAGTTCATCTAAAAAAACTCATGTTGTACAAGAAAGGGTATTTTGTACAGTAAAAAAATAGCTGTTGCGGAATTTACCTCATCGACGTTCATCTCAAATATTCCTGCTCTACAAGAAAGGGCAAACGCTGTATCTTCATCTTGGTTAAGCAGCCACGGTTTGACTCTCCGATCATTGAGTAGTAACATTGTTGATTGTCTATTCAGGAGCTTGGCGGCATGATGCAGCGGTGTGTTACCGTCCCTATCCTGTTGGTTCACAATCTCCTCCGGCAGCACATACTTGAGAAGCAATTCAAGCACGTCCACCTTGTCATTTCTGGCGGCTATATGGAGGGCACTTTGCCTTGTATTATCCACCATCTCAATGGCATCAGGAAACTGCTTTAATAGCTCTTTAGCAGCCTCTGCCGAGCCATAGTAAGCAGCTGTGTGTAGAGGAGTATGCTTCTCGTCATTCTGCTTGTAGGCTAGATTGGAGTATTTGTTGAGCAAAATGGATACTATGCGTGCGTTGTTGTGCTGTGCAGCGTAGTGCAGAGCATTGTTCCCTAATAAATCTGTCAACTCCACAAGCTCCTCATACCTGTCCAACAAGATCTCCAGCGCCCCTGATGTGCAATAAGCAGAGTAGACCTTCATTATTCAACTATGCATTGAAGAATAAAAACTGTACATAGAACATTATCGATGTAGTTAAACATGTTACTCTCGCCTTCCTGTCTTTTTGTCATGCAGTCATGGGTGTGCATTGGGCATGTCAGTATGATCAATACTGCACACAATGCTCAGAAAATTAAGAGTAATTAGATGATTGCCCATACGTTGCAACAGGATATAAATATTATAGTAGCCTATGATTTAACTGCCATATTTGTTTGATTGTGTGAACAATTAGGATTTATTTGGTACACATATGTCTGTTAAGCATTTATTGACTTACCAAAGAAAACATAATTTTATTTGGTAAGTAAATAAGATGTCGGCCAGTTGAGGTGGTTTTTAGGAAAAAACGGTGGGAAAACCCCAAGATGGGAGGAAAAGAATAAAAACGAGAAAGATAGTGGAAAGATACCAAGGTTGGACGAAAGAGGAATGGACGACAGAACCTTAGGTTCTTTTAAAATAAATAGGAGAGAAGAGATAAGTGGTACTGTCCTCCCTTCTACAATGAAGCTCATACCTGTTCTGCTTCCAGGGAAAAAAACTTAGGAAACTCGACATGAGCTCTGCCTATTCATAAAACGAAAAGAGGTGCCTAGTTAACTAGGAAAACCCAGGCGAAAACCAAATGCAAAGGGCATGAAGCCCCACGGTCGACTAAGCAACGAAAACTACAGACAAAATGCACCACCAGACACGCCAACACACCAAGCAGATGTAGAAGAAAAGCATCTGCCGCATCAAAACCTCCACACTACACCCTCCACCGAGCAAGCCAGATCAGGCATGACCCACCTAGAGAGGGGTGGAAACATCTCAACAGGCTACCAAAGGAGCACGGAAGAGGCTTCGCCAGAGCATCACACCGCCATATTACAAGCATATGGAAGGCACGGGCTCTGGCGACTCCGGCTCCGCCCTGCTCCCGCCGGCGCCGCCCGCCCTCCCGGCCCCGGCCGCTGATGGCCCCGCCGCCCCCCTCTCACCGCCTCCCCCCTCCTTGCCGTCCCCTGGACCCCCGGGTAGGGTGGTCTGGGCGGATTTGGCTGAGGACGCCGACCGCGCCGCCGGCCGGCCGGTGGAGTGCCGCGACCGGGTGCCTCTGCCCGCCCGGCGCGCCCGCCGCCGTCCCGCTTTGTCGGCGGCCTTACTCCCGGGGGTGGGAGTTCGGCTGCCCGGGCGCGGACGAGGCCTCTCCG